GAGGCCTAATACAGCACATATATATATATGTGCTATACTAGGCCTAGGAATATTTAAGTTAGCTTGATTCTTCAGGACTCTAAAGTGAATAGTACCAAATTCTACTATCTAATTGTTCGTTGCCTCAATATTTGTACGATAGTCCACATAGTTACAAAACGTACTATCTAAATAGGATACTTAAATAAATAAATATATAAATATATATATATAAATAAATATCTAACTATCTAAATTGGTTGGAAATTTCACCTGAAAATTAAAAAAAAAAACTTGTTCTTCCTTTTTTGTTATGTTTTCCTTTGTTCTTGTTGGTGGTGTTCTTCATTCCCTGGCCCCACCCTCCTGCCTCCTCCTCCTCCTTCCTAGTAGTGTTCTTGTACCGCCTCGTTAACCTTACTGGCAATAACACGCTCACACACCGAGGCGGGACCAAAGAGCCAGAGTTCAACCCCGCAAGCACAACTAGGTGAGCACACACACACACACACACACATCCAATACCAAATTATCATAAATATTCACATTCCATATCGTGGCATTTATTCACATTAAACTCCATCAGTCAAGTGTTGGTCCATACGCCTATTTTGTCCAGGCCATATTGAAGGGCATGACAATCATCTACGTTTCTTCCCTAGCAGCCTAGCATGGTCAGCACACGCGTACATATAATGCTGCGGTCCTTCTCTCTGTACGCCACGGGAGACATCTCCCGTCACGCAGGGTCCAGTCGCACCTCCACAGATTTCCAGTATCAGTTTGATACTGGTAACTCAAAAGGGCCATCACTTACGGGCTATTCATGCCCGTGCTACCTTTTTGGGTGGCTTAATCTTCATCAATCAATCAATCTCTGTATGCAGTCATTCTCGCAACTCGTCTTGGTGGTGCGCCGAGGTGTGGGCGACAGTTTTGTAGCAGAGTACTGGACAAGTCAAGTGAGAGAGATTGCGACCATTGAAGTAATATACAACGTCTGTGATCACGACACACACTCGAGGACATTCCACGGGAACAGGAAACGTGCAGTGACGCAGTTGCCTGAATATTTTGGGAGTGTATACGACTCGATCCGGTCGGGATCGTATAGAGGGAGCCGGTCGGCCGAGCGGACAGAACGCTTGTCTTGTGATCCTGTGGTCCCGGGTTCGATCCAGGGCGCCTGCGAGAAACAATGGGCAGAGTTTCTTTCACCCTATGCCCCTGTTACCTAGCAGTAAAATAGGTACCTGGGTGTTAATCAGCTGTCACGGGCTGCTTCCTGGGGGTGGAGGCCTGGTCGAGGACCGGGCCGCGGGGACACTAAAAAAAAGCCCCGAAATCATCTCAAGATAATCTGACCACCAGCTGGTCATGTTAGCACCAAATGATGCTTCGTTCACCACCAACTTTCTTTAGAGTTTTGTAAGCTAATGTTCCGTGTTAGGTTAAGCAAAGTAAGGCACTCGGGTTGACAGATTTTAGTATCATGCTGAAGCAACCGCTGACAGCGCACGTTTTCTTTCAACTTTGGAAAAGAAGCACGTAACAAGAAATTCATGTTAAAAGTAACATGAATTTCACGGTGATACTCTCACCTGCCGGCTATAATATATTCAACCTAATTTAGAAGGTGAGGCTAAAAGAGGTCTAAACAATTTGCATGCATATTAAACATGTTAAATGTAATGCTGTGGGTGAAGGGGCTGATCAATGTAGTGAGGGGAGGGGGGGGGGGGATGAAGCTGGCTAACACTAAGGTCTTGGAGAGTACTAAGAAAAGTCTCCACCTCTTTTTCCCAATCTCTCTCTCGTAGAAACCTCGCTGGCAAGTCTACTTTATTTATTATGTACCTTATACCCATCCTGTGGGCGTTGTTGTTGTTGTTGTTACAGATTCAGCTACTCGGAACAAGTTCCAAGTAGCACGGGCTATGGTGAGCCCGTAGTGGACTTACCTGGCACAGGAGCGGTGCTGTGTCTGCCTGTGGGCGGTAGTTTGAACATGTACGTTACATAGGCATAAAACGGCATCGATAACACGGCATTCGCCACCCACCCACCAGCTGATCTAGGACTATAGCGTTGAAATATTTCCTTGTAATTGGGAAAATAGGCTGGCGCGCCCTATCCTGTGGAAACCAGACAGCACCCATGATACCATGTATGTTCAGCTGCGCTAGGAACCACTTTTGGCACATAGCCAGGTAACTGTGCACATTAACTACGTCGGAACAAAAAATGGACAGCACATTCGTGTGGTGTTGAGGCCAGCCCAGATGATCACATGTGGAGGGCCGTGCTCTGATTCCTACACAGTGAGAGATTTCTAACTTTCTTTTAGCCAAAAACGTAAAATTTCAGGTTGGAGTGCTCTAGTATATTGCACACACGCGTATCCTTGACCAAAGGATTGAAGTTGAACAGCTGTGAAGTGCGTCTCATACAGGGCTCCAAGAGAGCATTGATGTAATTGACGCTTTCGCTAAACTTAAATAGGCTCTAAATATACTTTCGATTGGTCAGACAGCTTTAAAAACTTTGATCAGAAAAGAAATTTCAGATGAGTCTGAAGAGATCAAAAGAGTACAAATATGGATCAATATATCTTTTTCTCTATTTCAGTTTAACGTCAAACAAAACCAACCCGTCCTCAGACCAAGTCCATTCAATCCAGCGGTCGACCCCAAAGACGCATTCATCGATTTTAACATGCTGTTCATTCAAGATAGGAATTTTCTTAAATATAAATTAATATTGGTATATATTAGTATACTGTGCATATTTAGGCATTGGTTAGGTTATGTTAGGTGCTTAGGTTCTGTTGGCGATTAAGAACTCCCAGAACCCCATCAAGCAGGGTTGGCTGGTTGGATAGGGACGAGCTGTAAGGTTACATGAATAAAGGCTTTGTGTCTCAAAATAAAGACGTTCTTGAAAGGCAGTTTACCCTAAATAATTGTCAGTATTTCCTGCTTTTCCAAGAACACCTGGAAGTATTCAGCCTTGGTTATAAATATAGCACAAGTACTTGCAGTAATTATCGTCACCAAGGATATACTTCACACTTACGTAATTTTCAGCTGAAAATAGTAATAATATGGATTTTCGGTGTGGATTATTGGGTTATATCTGTGAGTTTTGGAAGTAACAAAACTAAGCTCAAACTCAATGATGTTTTCTGAAGAGATCTTCGTACTTGATTAGGTTGCATTAGTGATTTTTGGTAGACTTTAGTTCGATCGGTCATCTAAAAAAAATGAAATATGGTTTAGCTGTTATGCTCCATCTTCCAGCGCCCAGGGTAGAACTCTGATCGTCTTTTATGGCCGTTGACGTGTCCAGTTCTCTGAGTTCTGCTTGAGCAGTTGAGGCCTGAGGGGAGTCCATGAATCTGAGAAACAATACAGACCAAACATTAAGGTTATGTTACTGGAGGTCTGCTATAGGCTAATTACTTACTTGGCCCTCTCCTCTTTCTCATCTACATTAATGACCTTCCAAATGCCTCCCAACACCTCAAACCAATCCTATTTGCTGACGACACAACCTTCATTTACTCCAGTCCTGATCCCCTTGCTCTAAATGCCACAGTAAATACTGAGCTAAATAAAGTCCATCTGTGGCTAACTGCCAACAAACTCACCCTTAACATTGACAAAACTTTCTATATTCTGTTTGGCAATAAATCCTCTAATCAAATAAATCTCAAAATAAACAATACCCAAATTTGTAACAAATTAGATGGCAAATTCCTTGGCATTCTCATTGACCACAAGCTGAATTTCCAGGGACACATTCTAAACATATCAAAAAAAGTTTCAAAAACTGTGGGCATTCTTTCTAAGATCAGATATTATGTACCACGCCCTGCCCTGGTGACTCTCTATTACTCCCTTATCTATCCATATCTCAACTATGGTATTTGTGCTTGGGGCTCTACTACCCAAAATCACTTACGTCCTCTAATTACTCAACACAAAGCTGCTATTAGGACAATATCCAATTCTAGCCCCAGACATCACTCGGTACCCCTACTCAAATCCCTGAATATGTTAGACATTAAGTCACTGCACATTCTCTCATGTGTACTATACATATACAAAACGCTAAATTGCAATGCCAATCCTGATCTCAAAAGCTTCATAGAAGGTTGTAACAGAACCCATGAGCACCACACCAGAAATAAATACAGTTTTGATATTCCTAGAGTACGACTTAATCAAACCAGAAATGCTCTACAAATCAAGGGGCCCAGAATGTGGAATGACCTTCCCAACCATGTTAAAGACTGTACCTCTCTCAACCAGTTTAAGTTAAAAACGAAGCTATACCTAATAAATTCCCTGTAACCTACCTTACCTCTCTATTGTCAACCTATGTATGTTTTTTTTTTTTTTTTTTTTTTTTTTTTTTTTTTTTTTTTTTTTTTCTTCAAATCAACGCTGTTTTAATGTAATTTTCTGTAATAATTTGTAATTGTATTTGTGCTGTTTTTTCAACAATGTTCCCCCCTCTTTTACCTCTATTTTTATTTGTACTCAACGCATTTTTTTCTTTTTACCCATTAGTTTTAAGCTTTAGTCAGTAGTGTTTTTTCCTGCCCGAAACGCTTTGCGTAATAGTGGCTTTAGGCATTGTATGTACTAGCTCTTATCTATAAAGCCAACAAACTTTGTAAAATCTCTTTATGTATGTACCTTTGCCTAAATAAAAATTATTATTATTATTATTATTATTAAGCCCCCTCAAATCCTGTGATGTTTAGGTTTCTTCCCTCGCCACATTCTCTGCACTTTTCTCTGTTCTGATGTAAAGATAATGTACATTTGTTGGTTCTCAAATGTATATTTTGTTATTCTTTACGAGCATCTCTGATAATTTCCCAACTCTCTTCTGGCACGTGATGGACATTGTTCATTATTGTTTCCTTCTAGATTTCCTCAGTGACTTCCCACTGGATATGAACTTTCGTAGGCTTATAGCACTCGGACTCACCAAAATGTTTGTATTTTCAGGAAATATCAAGACCACGCTACTGCAGGGATCATCCTTCAACGTCAGCTGGCACTTGGCTTATCCTCACAGGGTAAGGAAGTCGTCAATTAATCCTCCTCCTCCTTATCCCTTTAATTGTTGTTGTTGTGTTGATTTAGGGGCGACGACGATCGTGGGACCTTTAATTGTTCTTCTCTGGGGGAGGAGCGTGGGGAGGGGGGGGGGGTAGGGGGACAATCGTAAACATGAAAAGATAGTTTATTTATTTATTTATTTATTTATTTATTTATTTATTTACAAGAAGGTACATTGGGTTTGAGTACAGAGACTTGAAGGTTTACATTCGTGTAAAGCCACTAGCACGCATATAGCGTTTAGATACCTAATCAACATATAATTTTAAGTAGGTAATGTTATGCAAAATTAAACAAGGGTTTACAGGTACATAGTAAGAAAGTATATAAATACATTGTAAGAAGGTATAAAAATGCATTGTAAGAAAGTTTAAAAAAAAATACATTGTATAAGAAATTTGACAAAAAAAAGTAGGTACATTAAAGTAAATTTAAGGGTTATAAAAAAAAAAGTAGGTACATTACAGTAAATTTAAGGGTTATACAAAAAAAAGTAGGTACATTAAAGTAAATTTAAGGGTTATCCTCAGGTACTATTTAGTATAATTTGAGGATTATTGCAAGATATAATGTAGCAAAAGTATGTATATAACATGATATATGTAGCAAATGTGCTACAAACTACAAACTATAATGTAGCAAACTATGTGTATAACATGATATAAGATAACAGCAATGATTACAATGGTAACGTTGTATGGCATAGATACATATTTTGGGGAATTGGGTAGCACTAGCTACAGTCAGAGCTTCAAGCACTAGGTAGGAAACTATGAAGATGAAATTAGGTACTTTTTGGGTTTATTTTTGAATAAGGCAAAAGTTGGACAGCTTTTCAATTCGTTAGGGAGTGAGTTCTATAGACCAGGTCCCTTTATTTGCATAGAGTGTTTACACAGATTAAGTTTGACTTTGGGGATATCAAAGTAGAGGTAAAATGTTGGAAGCAAAAATATGAACATTGTAGGGACTATTAAGAAGTATTCTGGCGACAATAGTGGAAACACACAAGCTTAAATGCAATGCTTCGGTCATGTAAATCTTGGCAAAGTGTTCATTTGTTCAAATGAACATTTATTGGCTCTTCTGTCCCAGTTTCCTCTCGAGTGTTGCAAAACCCTAATGCTCCGTCCCTTCAGTACTGTTGACCCCGTACCGTGGAGCAGTGTTGCATAATGATCTCATGCAGGGTGTTCTCCACCCCCCACACAGGGCGGGTTCCGTCTGGAGCTGCTGGACCCCCAGGAGCGACCCCTCTCCGACCTCACCCCCGTCACCGCTGACACCAACTTCCTCGCCGACGATACCACGTATGTATTATAATAATGGCATCATCTTCATCATCATCATAATAATAATAATAATAATAATAATAATAATAATAATAATTATAATATTATTATTATTATTATTATTATTAATACACAGATAAATCACAATAACGTGATATGTATGTCAATGAACAAATTTACAAGGGCCTTGAACATCCAACACATAGGTTCAAATCCTCATCAAGGCCCTTGTGAATTTGTTCAATAATAATAATAATAATAATAATAATAATAATAATAATAATAAAAATAATAATAAAAAATAATAATTGTATTTAAATAATATGGAAAATGCATATTTAACAAATGCACTAATATATGTTGACCAGACACTCCACACTAGAAGGTGAAGGGACGACAACGTTTCGGTCTGTCCTGGACCATTCTCAAGGATCGATTGTGTCACAATCGACTTGAGAATGGTCCAGGACGGACCGAAACATCGTCGTCCCTTAAATAATAAAATAAAATAAAATGTTTATTTAGGTAAGGTACATACATACAATAAATTTTTACAAAGATTGGTTGACTTATAGGTAGAGCTAGTACATACAATGCCTAAAGCCACTATTACGCAAAGCGTTTCGGGCATATCACCTTCTAGTGTGTGGTCTGGTCAACATACTTCAGCCACGTTATTGTGACTCATCGCCTCCACTAATACATAATGCATTTAAGGTGATATAAGACAGTGGAGCCTGGTAAAAGATGCATTTATGTGCCATGGGCACTGCCAAATCAATAAAGGCCAAAACACTGGTGAATTACAAAATCCAGCTTGATAAAAATCATCAGGAAAAATGGTGGAGGAGGGAGGCTTTGACAAGCCACCGGCTTTCTGTCCTCATCGAGGCCACTAGAGAGTAGTGGCCCTCAGGTAAATTCAGGTAAATTGCACGCGCTATTTTTATGTAACTCGCGGTCACTGCATGCTCGCATGTTCACTCTAGCAAAAAGAATCAAGGATTTGTCATCCTTCTTAGACCACACACATTTACTCTCACGCCCACTCTCACATGGAACCACACTCAACCTCCCACATACTGTTGGAATTGGACAGAGAAAAAGATTTAGAGGTTGATATTACCTGTCACCAGAAGCCCACATAAAAAACATTTCATCAGCTCCATACAGAAGATTGGATAATATAAGAATCACCTTTAGTAATCTTAACAAAGAGCTATTCAGAATCTTGTATATTGTGTATGTCAGATCAATTCTGGAATATGCTGCACCAGCATGGAGTCCTTATCTTCTTAATTTAAACACAAAATGATGCTGGATAAAGTTCAGAGGTATGCCACCAGACTACTCCCAGAGCTGAGAGGTATGCACTAATAGGAAAGACTATACTGTAAGCGTTAAACCTTATATTACGAGAAGAGACATGATTTCCACAAACAAAATATTATAAATTCTGAATGTTTATTCTTTATTCCATGAAGGCAACAAAAGACATTATAGACATAATTTTCGATGATACACTAATATAAATATTGTTACTATATTACAGTGCCCAGTCCTTCAGGATCACCCTGCCCACTGAACTGGAATGTGAAGGCTGCACCATCAGGCTGCTGCGTCAAGCATCAGAGTGGGGGGCAAAATACCAATTCTGGTCCTGTGCTGATGTTGATATTGTAAAACGTAAGTCAGTTTTGTCAATACAGCATATTTAAATTTGTTCCATGTTGCATTGTTTTTATTGTAAAATTAAGCATAAATAAATTGTACCATATTTCCAGTTATTCTAAATAAAAAGTTCAATATGTACAGGTATTTAAATTTCTGAGTTTCAGCCCTATTCCAACTTTTGGAAACTTTGGATTGAAAGCTATCAAAGAATTCGGGTACCCTCCATCCATTGGAATTTTACGTTATATCTACAGATAAAGTACATCAAAATACAGGTTCACTAAACAAATACAAAAATACATTAAGTATTTGGTACACCCTCCTTGGGGGTAGCTTGAACACTATTCATAGTGATGGACCATAACAACATAAGAGAGCAGTATGCTCGTCAGGATCTGAGGCAGATCAGAGTAACTATGGCAAGATTCTAGATGAAATTGTTTTTATGTAAAATTCATTTTTTGTGTAATATTAATAGATTTTGTAATCCTATTTTATATTCTAAAATATGGAAGTCATATGTCTTTTATAGAATTGAGGCATTATCGAATCAATGCTATACATAGTTTTCACTATACTGTACTGCAGTAAGTTGGCTTAGGTGGCTTCTCTGTAAAGCAAGAGATATTTTTCCAGATTATAGGCGTCATTTTGTGCCTTCCTGGTTCCACAATATAAGATTTTCCCCTCTTCAAGGGCCAGAATCATCAATGCTAAGAGCTTGATAATAACCCACAATATTTGCATTGCAAAAATTGGTATACTGTACTGTATAAATGATAATGAATATTTTGTATTGGTTTACTTACAAGCTGTAGATTTCTTATACAGTACTGAAACAGTTTTTTATGTAACCAGACCTAATGGTGGTTTCCCTCAGTGATGCATGCATCATTCACTGTGCCAAACCATTGAAGAATGTTTAAAGTAATTTGACCTATGAGTAGTGTTTCAAGAACTGTACCTGCCATAGTAATTATCTGATAGGTGCCCAGTACTCACCTTCTTGAGAGGACTTATGGTGACTCCTTATAGTTGGCCATCACCAGGTGGCAGCACTCCCAGCTACTGACTCCACCCAGACAACTTACCAGTCATTGAGCCAGGCAAGACTAAAACTGATGCCCCTTGAAGGGAAAGGGAGGGTCCAGTGTGCCACCAATGGTCCACCAGAAAGGCATTTCATTGCATTCATTGCTGATCTTTTGAGTGTGGGTGTGAGAAAATACTCACATGACTTTATCCTAATCAACTTAATGCTCTTAGAAGCACAGCATGCAACTTTAGTGTACTGTATATTGAATATTTTGTTTTTATTTTGCAGGAAACAGTTACCGTGAAACTTGCAGTGGCAATGGCAGATACATGGTTAATCAGTGCCGTTGCAACAAGCGTTTCTTTGGTGATCGATGTCAGTTTGAAAATGAGTGTAACACTGATGATGACTGTGGACTATTTGGACGATGTGTGGATTTGGATGCCACTACATACCCAAAGAAGTTATGCTACTGCCGACAAGGGCGGTTTGGTCCCAAGTGTTCAAAAAGTATGTATAAAGATTTAAAGTGAAAAAGTTATATGTTAAACTGCTAGATATGTAATATTCAGTTTTATTATTCTTTTTAGAGAAATTATTCATTATTTTTATAAACGTTATAAAAAAGGTCCTGTAGTACAGTGATTTACATTCTCAAGCTACTCTCAGGGATCCTGGGTTCGATCCCTGGGGGGGACAGAAATGGTTAGGCATGTTTCTTTTCACATGACTTCTCTGTTGAAATAGCAGCTAATAAGTGCCCAGGAGTTAGACATCTGTTGTGGACTCCTTCATGGGGAAAGTCAGTAGTTCGGTCTAGGGTCAGACTTTGATACAAGACTAAGTACAGTAGAGACTTGCTGTCCCCGACAGTTGGAATTACTGTATTATATGCAGTGCTTTTCTTGATTTATCTTATAGTACTTACTTTCTTTTTTTACAGCATCCTTGGTAACAAATCGAGACACTGTTAATTTTGATGTGTACACCAAAAAGGAGTTGAGTGACAAAATGACCCTCTATTGGAGAATTCTACAAATTGAGGGCGAGATTGAGGTGGTGCTGGTCAATAATGGATCCTCATATTCTGCCTTGGGTTGGAGGCCCCAAGGAATGACCCAAAAATGCAAGCAGTTTCCCTACATACCTGGAACCGTGAGTCCTGGTGCCACTGCTGGAAATGGTGCTCAAGCTGAACCTGAACCCGAAGCAGAAGCGGAACCCGAAGCAGAAGCCGAGCCCGAGGCAACAGCAAAATCCAAAGTTGAGACAAAGCCAGGGGCTTCAGGGTCTCATCCAGAAGCTGAAGCAGAGCCGCAACCTGAAGGTGAGCCGGCAACTACGACAGCTAGACCCAAGGCCGAGAATGACCCAGAGGCTGAGGCTGAGCCAGAGGCAGAGCCGCACACCACTGAATCTTCTCCGAAATTAAGTCTTGCAGGTAGTTTCAGTATTTACGTTTTTGTTCTTGTTAATTTAAGGGAAACTTATATAAACCAATTCAAAGCTAGAGGAATAATTCACTAGGGCTTCATTTTCTGGTCATTGTTCCAGCTCCTGTTATAGAACTTCTAATTACAGTATTTACTAATTAATTGGGGGGGGGGGGTTGTCTTGGAATGTTTATATTCTGAATGTTTACCTTAATTCTGGGTTACCAACTTAACTGAATGCTATTCCAACTACTGTATAGATTTTATTTCTTGTAGTTTAATAAGATAGCTTATTCTATTCTATATACTGAATATATATCTTATATATCCTATTATACTGTATATCCTTATATATCCCATATATTATATCCTATCCTAATATACTGTACAATACAGTATATAGTTTGGCTATGAATGAATCTTAGTATATTTAACATAGATAACAATGGTTTTCTCTCGTAGTTAAAGTTGGAATGCTTATAAAGTGTGATCAGTCATTTCTGAGACATTATATTACAGTATGTGAACAATAACCTTTTGTGGATAGTTGTCATATTAGTACAGTACTATACATAGGAAAATATTGGTAGTATAATGGGCTAATTTCCTTGTTAGTATGTAAAGAATATTCAACATTATTCCCCATTTTTCACTATAAATAAATCAGAATTGTATAATTTTGCACAAAAACTATAAAAATATATATACAGTGTAGGGTACAGTATACTGTATATAAAAAATAAATGTACAGTTTTAAAATAGCATGTTTTTGGAAACTGTCCGTTCTATTACTGCAATATTTTCTTGTAAAATCATCCTGTATAAAGGTTGCCCGTGAGTGATATACGGTTGTTCACCATGTACTTAAAGTTGTTGCTTTAATAATACTTAATAAAATTAATTAAAAAGCATCAGTGATGCAATAATATTACATTTGTTTATAAAGATTTGAGATTTTGAAAATGTTTCATTTTCTTAGAGTAAATAATTATGAAAGTATTTTAGTTAGAACTTCTTTCATTTTACATTGACATGTGCAATTTTATCGGGGGAATATTTCTTTATAATTTTAGCAAATTAATTCCTGTGAGATACACTTAAGTTTCAGAAATACTATCCTAAAAGGGTTATGAATTCCAAAAAGCGAGCATTTATCTTACAGCATTTCTGGTGTCTCAGGACTCGGTCTCTAATAAGATGTTACAGCTTCTCTGTCCTGTGCTGTGTGGTATGCTTCAGAGTGCATCCATTCCTTTGGCACACTTCATAAAGAGGGTCCGGCACACTACAAATTTGTTTCAAATTATCACTTAACAACTACTGTGGCTGATGGATGGACAGATTTTGTAAACAATTACTTTCACTTCTTCTTCAAGAGAAGAAGTGAAAGATGATCTGATTGGCTCTTTAAATTTAAAAACAAATTTTTGGTGTACTCTGCTCCCTCCATCGTGAAATATACCACACCACAGGGATGGTTGGTTGCCCTCTCTAACCAGCTGTGCAGCTTAGGAAAGAGATGGTTTTATATCTTTTGAGAAGCTGAGTTCTGAGTGGCCTGTTGTGCACCTTTGTAACACATTGCTTGCACAATTTAAACATTTATTCTCATGAATTTATGATCACATTTTATATATTGAGTGCCGATGTGAATGCTGGTGATGGGTGATTAACATAATTAGTTTACAAAAGGGCCTTCTTCCTGAATGTAAATTGTGATGAATAGTCTTTTTTAGCTACTAATTATCAAGAAATAGATATAAGATACATTACAACCTCGATTCAACGAACTACAGTACAGCATATGGTACCAACCCCAATTCATTGCAGTGAGGGATTTGTTGCAACCGGAGATGCCTGCAGGATGCATTTTCCATGCTCTATGGGCTAATTTCACCTAGCCAAATTTTAATTTCAACCTATAATATAATATACAACTGCCAAATGAACATGTCTGCAAAATTTTTTTAACTTCATCTAGCTTATTTCTTACATCCCCAACCTCAAAACTCATTTTCAAAAGGTAGCAAAGCCAGCCGTACCTGAGTGAATGAAAACCTTGCCAACTCAAAATGAAAACAAACCATAAAATATAGTTTTAAATATCCTCAATAGCTTTCCCAAGGATCCAACTATTTCTTGTAATGTAGAGTTCATCTACTAAAATCATACAAAATGAGACTGGACCCAAATTAAGAGTGTTACCATTCATACTCCCCCACACTCTATGGGCTGATTTCACAGAGAAATTATAATTTCAATGTGTCATATGAAGGGCAGCAAGCAAGAGAATCTGTAAAGAGATTTAACCAATCTAGCATACATGTACTTCCTACACCAAAGCCTCAAAATCTCATTTACAAAGGAATAAAGGTGCATGTTTTACTGAATGAAAACCTCTGCAACTGGAAATTGAAACGAACCATAGAATTTGGTTTTAGATATGCTCAATGGCTTTCCAAAGGCTCCCAACTATTTCTTGTAATGTTGCCTCTATCAGTGAACTTGGTCTCAACATTCTAAGGAATTCCATACATCCCCCGTTTCTTGTTCATTGAACTGGGTGAGTAAATCTGGTATAGAAATTGTGTGTTCCAACTTTAGCTTCGTTAAATCAAGGTTCCACTGTGTATTTCTTTTCATTATTTTGTTTTTCCATGTCTCCTACAACAAACCCTTGGTTTTACTAATAAATTACTATATGCACATGGGTTAAAGGTAACAGTAAACTCAACATCACTGCAAGTTGTTTTCAACCTACGCTGTCCAGCTATTTAATTAGCAAGCAGCATTCTTATGTTACAGTTAGAAAATTTGATGGAAATTGAGTGAGAATGAAAATGGTCTGGAAATCTATTTTCCAAGCCGTATGTATGTCTTTGTGATTATTGCATTATTGTAAATGATATAATCATCTTATGTACATTGATTTAAATTACTGTTAGTGGGATGGTGTAAGTTTCACAGTGGTAGAACGTTAAGTAGTATTTATTTTGGTAAGTATTTGTTTCTTCTGACAGTTTATCAATAAATGAGATTTATTACCTGTTGGAACTCACATAGTTTGGACTGGAAGAGGGTTAATAGTATAGAAATACATAGAGTATAGTGGTTTTAGTATAGTATGATTAAAAGAATAGCAAATATAGTACTTTTAATAAAATAGTTTTTGGTGCATTTAATCCATTAATGTAAAATACCCTGTACTGTGTATTTTTCAAGCCAAGGCCACTTTATCACTCTCTTAGGCAAATACAACTCCCCGAGACTTGTGGCATACAAATCAGCAATAAAATGCCATTAACCCGTAGCCTGCTGAATTAAATTACATTTTAAAATAATGTAAATCAATGAGGGTGTTTCTATACGCAGTTCTTTTAGGGTTATTATAATTAGACACCTATTAATTTATAATTCCTGTTGTTGGAGACAGGAGATTTATACTTAGGCTTATTGAGGTCTCCCTTTGCCAAATACCTTCCCCAGGATGCAACCCACAACAGTTGCCTAACTCCCAAGTCCATATTTAACTTGCTAGGTGAACAGAGGTATGAGATGAAAAGAAATGAGCTCATCAGTTCGTGTTGATTTCAAGAATTTATATGTACCGTATAACTAAATTTTACTCATTGCCACTGCCTCATGCCCTGTAGACTTGGGTTACAAAAAGTATGCCTAATGCAGTATGCTTAGCAGTCTCCGTGGTGTAGTGGTAAGACACTCGCCTGGCGTTCCGCGAGCGCTATGTCATGGGTTCGTATCCTGGCCGGGGAGGATTTACTGGGCGCAATTCCTTAACTGTAGCCTCTGTTTAACGCAACAGTAAAATGTGTACTTGGATGAAAAAACGATTCTTCGCGGCAGGGGATCTTATTCCAGGGACCTGCCCGAAACGCTACGCGTACTAGTGGCTGTACAAGAATGTAACAACTCTTGTATATATCTCAAAAAAAAAAAAAAAAAAAAAAAAAAAAATTCATTATTAGTAGCCTGTGGGCTTAACAAAGTCCTATCTACATTTTTCCAGTTCCATATACAGCTAGTGTAATACAGTAAATGTATTATTCATAATTAAATCCAGTACAGTATTAACCATTTTTGCCACAACATATCTAACCACTCCCAAGGGTGCGTTCAACTAAGATCCTGTCACTATAGGTTGCACTTTTAACCATCACATCTACAGCAGATACTACCAAACCTGCCATAAACCCTACTACCACCACCACCACAACTGAACGTTCAACAAGACCCAGACGTGTCCGTCGAACTACCACTACAACAACCACCACCATTCGACCACGTATAATTGCCAATCAATCACTTACAACAACCAGTACCACAGAAGCACCTGCAACTACTACCACCACCACTGAAACACCTATAGCCACAACTACCACTCAAGCTTCTACAACTGCAACTGAAGCTCCAACAACTGCCACAACATCTACAACTAAAGCAACAACAACCCCCACCACAACTACAACTGAAGCACCAACAACCACCACCACAACTACAACTGAAGTACCAACAACCCCTACAACAACAACCACCACTGAAGCCCCAACAACCACCACAACCACCACTGAAGCCCCAACAACCACCACCACAACCACCACGGAAGCACCAACAACCACCACTGTAGAAGGAGCCCCAACTCCAAGGAGGAAGAAAAGTGAGTTGCACTGCATGCAGTAGTGTTGACCTGACGTGTGTGTTTTGTGTGTGCATTTATGCTGGAAAAATGTCCGTTAACACCTGCTTGTGAAGCGTTTATTTTGCACAAATAATTTATCGCAGAAGGGAAACGTCCAAACATTATCTCAAATATTTTCACTAGAAATAGGTTTTTTATTAGAATTTGCAGGATTGTTTTGACTTTGTATACTCATATCTTTATGTATTTGTTTATTTTCACTTTAGCATATTAACATGGTAACTACTCCCTGTTCTCATAATAATAAGAATTGTTATTTTAATACATAAAAATAACATTGTATAAGTGTAAATACTGTACATGTACTGTATAAGCGGAATTGTGAAGGCCATAGAAAGCTGTGGCCAGCTTCGAGAGTTGAGTTACTCTCACAGGTTACAACTGCTTCTCTTTCTTAGAAGATGTACTTAATACTAGAAAGTATAAGAAACAGATATAAAGTAAAGTTGATGGTAATTAAGTTAATAAATTTATCAGAATACTGTAACAAGAAATATTGGGGAAAATTAAATATAAATAATTGAGTGATAGTGTGTGTAAAGGTTGCCCATGAAGATAAAGTAGCAATATATTGTTACATTTGTCACTGGTCAGTCTGCTATGCCCTCGAAGTGTAGAGTAATGAGCTGTAGGTATAATATTTGGCATAGAAATGCTACACGAGGATGAGCCCTTACAGTAGACAATGTTTCACTTACAGTGGGTTTCATAGAACCATTGTCTCCAACAGAGGCTTGCTCTCGTGTGGCATCTCCTCAATTCTCTCAACATCCTATTGATCTGTGTACAGAATTAATGTTATATACTGGCAAGAATTTACCATATCAAGATAGCGCTTATCACAAGGGTTTTCCTACTTTTAGTAACTTCAGGGATGCTTGTTCACCATAAATATGGAAAGCCATTTTTTGTATTTATATTTTATATTACTATTTTACGTTTTATGTTTTGTAAATCCTTGATTAGCAGCAGTAGTATTTTAGCACAGTAGTATGCCCGAAACGCTTTGCGTAATAATGGCTTTAGGCATTGTATGTACTAGCTCTACCTATAAGTCAACCAATCTTTGTAAAAATTTACTTTATGTATGTATCTTACCTAAATAAACAAACATTTTATGTGATTTACTTGATAATAGAGCATTTTATAACTTTTGTTGTGTAATTAATTAATACTTGAGAATCATCACCATAAGTTTGTCTGTTTTGTATTGTGTTGAGTATTCTCAAATTATTGTATAGCTGTGCAATTTATTTTAGATTTTGTATATGTTATTGTACTATAATTATACTTTACAAGGTTTCATATATTTTAGACTAATACTGTAATAAGTGTTGGAAATACTTTTCTAGGCACATTACTGTGATAAGAAATTTATTGCTGCGTTAAAAAGTAACGCTGTATTTTGTTACTCAAGGAAATTAGAGTTTTATAGGTGGATCGTGAAGGTGTCCAAGGTTAATATTTACTAAATTCCTCATTCTTTGATCAGCAAATTGCAAAAGCAATTTGTTGCTCAACATTTGAGCAGCAAATGTAGCTAATTTTAAAGTAGATTCAGATTCCTCAGTTAGGGATTTACCATTTCATTGCTAAAATGAATAATTACAAGTTAAAGAATTATTTTTTCATGTATTAGTATTACACTATGGGTCTCTAGTATCACCTGTTAGTGTACCTTCCTTCAGTGTTCTTCACATACATCAGCAACTTGGTATATATCATGAATAACACTTTGGATTTATATTAGTTACATTTTGTCGCCTTATGTTACTCAAATATCCTTTATTCTGAGTTGTTGTTTTCAGGATTTACACCTTATTTCCTTCTACGATCTACACATCAATCCCTTCTAGGATTCACACCTCATAATTTTTATATTATTTGTATTTTTCAGCTTGTGTATAATTCCTTATAAGTGCCACAATTAATGTCCAGTAGAGGAATCATCATTGAATTTCATACAAAATATATGTAATCAGGTTGAATTTATATTTTATATATAAATATACATATATATATACACACACACACACACACATATACATACAGTATTTATGTTTGACAAATTGTAAACAAAGGGAGCCATGTATAATATATGTAGTGTGTGTTCTAAGTCAGCTGACCTCACTTTTAGAATGCATGGAGCATGGCTTCTAGATAGGATCTACTGTATACTTTGGTATTTACTAATGCATGCACAATTTTAATTTGATTTGCACTTTATTTTGACTGTATTTAATATATGCACCCGTATGGCCGACTCAATCTTGAGTGTCTTCGGCCAGAATTGTTCTACTGATTTTTTATAACCAGAGCAAGTTTTAAGTTCAATCTGATTTAATTTTGAATTCAAATAAAAGATATAAAATAGCAATTCATAAAATCATTGTGAATATTTTGTGTTTTGATTTACTGGTGAATCAGTAGAACAGCATTCCATGTCTTGCTCAAGAAATGAGTGCACTTCATCAGCTCTTCCTTGAGGTAGATATGTTGAGTATTTATCATGCACATATCATTACTTTCTTTTAGTTATATTAATTCTTTTAATTTCCTATTCTTCAGATGATGTTACCTCAGGTAATTATTGACTCTGCATGTTCTCCTTCAGTGGCTATATTGAAATATAATAACTATACATCTATACAAGTTACAGTAATTTGCAGTTATTGGTATTTTATTTTTGTCCAAATTTCATCAGATCGAGTCACTGGTCTTCTGGTACCAAGAGGGAAACGGGACACCCTTTCCAGGTAAAGAAACTTTGTTCATTTTACACAAGAAAATAACTTACATTCACCAAGGCCCTTGATGTGATATTAGTTGGAGTGACCAATAATTTTTGTTACAGTATATAGCATACTAGGAGGGGTAACGTGCTGCACCTGGACCACACTCTCCTGCCTTCCTTCCTTCCCTACTACCCCTCCCCTCTTCCCTCTCTTTTTCTTTTTTTTCTCTCCTCCTTACTTCCTCCTTTTCTCCACTCTCCAACTTTCTCCCCCAACATCTTCCCTCTCCTTCACTCACACCTCTTCTCCTCCCTTCGCCTCCCCTCTCCACCTACTCTCCCGCTCTTCAAACGTTCCCCGTCGCCCTTTTTCTTTTTCCTATCTCCCACTCCTTATCCTTTCTTCTCTTCCTCTTTAGAGAGAGAGAAGAAATTTCTTCAGAGATTTCTGTGAGTTATTCACCATCTCTGAGGGAGAGTGTGAAGATATCTAGGGACTCAGCCAGCCACTGTTCACAAATTAGGTTAGAGGGTGGGGGAGGGTCACTATTTGATCCGACCCCCCCCCTTCTTTTAATAGGACAATAGGATTGACCCCAACCAGCCACTGTCCATCCCATACATAAGAACATAAGAACATAAGAACAAAGGTAACTGCAGAAGGCCTATTGGCCCATACGAGGCAGCTCCTATTCTATAACCACCCAATCCCACTCATATACTTGTCCAACCCGTGCTTGAAACAATCGAGGGACCCCACCTCCACAATGTTACGCGGCAATTGGTTCCACAAATCAACAACCCTGTTACTGAACCAGTATTTACCCAAGTCTTTCCTAAATCTAAACTTATCCAATTTATATCCATTGTTTCGTGTTCTGTCCTGTGTTGATACTTTTAATACCCTATTAATATCCCCCCGGTTATGTCCATTCATCCACTTGTAAACCTCTATCATGTCACCCCTAACTCTTCGCCTTTCCAGTGAATGCAACTTAAGCTTTGTTAATCTTTCTTCATATGAAAGATTTCTAATTTGGGGAATTAACTTAGTCATCCTACGCTGGACACGTTCAAGTGAATTTATATCCATTCTATAATATGGCGACCAAAACTGAACTGCATAATCTAAATGGGGCCTAACTAGAGCAAGATATAGCTTGAGAACCACACCAGGTGTCTTGTTACTAACGCTGCGATTAATAAATCCAAGTGTCCGATTTGCCTTATTACGAACATTTATGCATTGATCCTTTTGTTTTAAATTCTTACTAATCATAACTCCCAGATCCCTTTCGCAATCCGACTTCGCAATCACAACACCATCTAGCTCGTATTTTGTAACTCTATCATCATTACCTAACCTCAGAACTTTACATTTATCAGCATTAAACTGCATCTGCCAATCCTTTGACCATTTCAAAACCCTATCTAGATCAACTTGAAGTGATAGTGAGTCCTCCTCCGAATTAATTTCCCTACCGATTTTCGTATCATCGGCAAATTTGCAAATGTTGCTACTCAAACCTGAATCTAAATCATTTATATATATTATAAACAACAGAGGTCCCAGGACAGAGCCTTGAGGCACTCCACTTACAACATTTTCCCACTCTGACTTGATTCCATTTATACTAACTCTGTTTCCTTTGGTATAGCCATGCCCTAATCCAGCTTAATATAGCACCCCCAATACCATGAGACTCTATTTTTTTAATCAGTCTTTCATGTGGCACTGTATCAAAAGCTTTGCTAAAGTCAAGGTATACAACATCGCAATCCTTACCACTATCAACTGCCTCAACAATGCTAGAATAAAAAGATAACAAATTTGTTAAACATGAACGGCCATTTATAAAACCATGTTGCGACTCAATTATTAATTTATGTTTTTCAAGATGAAGACGAATTTTATTTGCTATTATAGATTCGAGTAACTTTCCCACAATAGACGTTAGGCTAATTGGTCGATAGTTAGACGCAAGTGATCTATCTCCTTTCTTAAAAACTGGTATCACATTAGCAACTTTCCAAAACTCTGGCACTCTGCCTGACTCTATTGATTTATTAAATATGGTTGACAGTGGGTCACAAAGCTCCTCTTTGCATTCTTTAAGCACCCTAGCAAACACTTCATCCGGCCCTGGGGATTTGTTTGGTTTGAGTTTTACTATTTGTTTAAGAACATCCTCCCTGGTAACTGCTAAACTCGTCAACCTGTCCTCGTCCCCACCCACATAGACTTGTTCGGCTGAAGGCATATTGTTAAGTTCCTCTTTAGTAAATACAGATACAAAATATTTATTAAAAATACTACTCATCTCTTCATCACTATCTGTTATTTGACCTGTCTCAGTTTTTAATGGACCTATCCTTTCCCTAGTCTTAGTACGATATAACTGAAAAAACCCTTTAGGATTTGTCTTTGCTTGCCCTGCTATGCGAACTTCATAGTTTCTTTTTGCTTTCCTTATCTCTTTTTTAACATTTCTAACCAGTTGTACGAATTCCTGTTCTAAAGTGACCTCCCCATTTTTAATCCTTTTGTACCAAGCTCTCTTTTTACCTATAAGGTTCTTCAAATTCTTTGTTATCCACTTTGGGTCATTAGTATACGATCTATTCAATTTGTATGGTATACTACGTTCCTGTGCTTTGTTTAGAATATTCTTAAATAAGTTATATATTGAATCCACATCGAAATCCCCATTTAAGTCACCTATCGCTGGGTTCATGTCTCGCTCCAAGACCGGCCCACACCCCATACCCAAGCCTTTCCAATCAATTTGACCCAAAAAATTTCTTAGGCTATTAAAATCAGCTTTTCGGAAATCTGGCACTTTAACAGAATTTTCTCCTACTGGTCTATTCCATTCTATGCTAAATCTGATTGCTTTGTGATCACTGCTCCCTAGCTCACTCCCTATTTCGATGTCATTAATTTGCGTTTCCCTGTTAGTTAACACTAAATCTAAAATATTATTTTCCCGTGTTGGTTCCTTAATGTGTTGCCCCAGACTATTCACCCTGCAAAATTAGTTAAGGCCAATTTTGGATAAACTTGGACAGACAGAGAAGCAGACAGATATTCTCTCTTATAAATATAGAGTGAGAATCTTATGTACATGTTATGGGCTGAATTTTTGTAATATAACAGTGATGAATTATCACAATCACATACATTTTTGGCAGCACGAGAAATATTAGAGATGTTGACCTATGCTCTTTAAGGAGTTATCTACTAAATAGTAGTATCTAGTAGATAACTCCTTAGGAGAAGATACCATTGGGAGAAGAATAGGAAGGTTATCTAATGTATGGATTATTTTATATTACTGTAATTAGTTGTGAATATCTATATGGTTTTCAAAACTTTTAATTTCCTTGTCTTTATCAAGGAAAGTGGAGAAGTAATGCCTGTTTAAACCAAGCCACTGAAATATAATATATATATATATATTGGTGAAGATTGTTTGTAATTAAATTGATTTAGTACTTGTAACATTACCTTTTCATGTTGTACTTGGAAATTGGCCAGGATTTATTAAACATTTATTCAACCACTCACGAAACTTGTGCATCTTTCCCTAATCATGGCGGCTTTGTGTACATTTATAAATACTTTATGAACTCCAAAGCGCTACGAGGTTGATTTGACCAGACCACACAGTAGAAGGTGAAGGGACGATGTTTCGGTCCATCCTGGACCATTTTCAAGACAATCGACTTGAGAATGGTCCAGGACAGACCGAAACGTCGTTGTTCCTTCACCTTCTAGTGTGTGGTCTGGTCAAATTACTTTAGCCACGTTATTGTGACTCATCGCCTGCGCTACAAGGTTGTTTATAACACTAATAACCTTGGGTTGTAAAGTTTTGATGCTCATAAACCGTTAAATAAATGTAAACAAATCAACTGTGATTGAGGAAAGATGTACCTGTTTAAACCAAGGGACTTTATAAAATTTAATGCAGGTTCTGAATTTACCTGAATTTACCAGAGGGCCACTAATACTAGTGGCCTTGGCGAGGACAGGAAGCTGGCGTCTTGTCAAAGGTCCCCCTCAGTGGTTCTCTAAGTGGTAGCGTAACTGCTTGATGTATCCTGGCCCTTATTTCTATTTGATGATCTTTTAACAAAATTTGCTTCATAAACTCTAGGAAAGCTCGGTTTGCTGTTCCACTCTTGAAAGCTGCAGATAACTCTTCAAATGGAACAACAAGTTCACAAGTGAAAGCTGAGGCGGACGCTGAACCAGAGGCAGAGGCCGAAGCAAAGGCAGAAGCAGAACCTGAGGCAGAAGCAAAAGCTAAATCTGGTTAGTTTGTACTGAATATATGTAGAGAAACAGACATACAGTATAATATAGATACAACAGAGAATACTTCACAATGGCTTAAAACTAGACACCCAACACACACAAGCATATATGAAATAAAAATGACAATGAACAAATCCATGAGGACCGTGATGAGGGTTCGAACCTACATCCGGGATGATCCCAGACAAAAATGAAAAGTGTATGTAAAAATGACAATGTTTTGGTCCGTCCGTAACCTTTATAAAATTTAAACTAAGCAATAAAGGAAGAGGCAACCATTATAATGCAAGGGGGAAGATGAGGTGAAAAGACATGAGGGGAAAGGGGAGAAGTAAAGCATGAAAACTGAGATAATGACAGCTTCCTATGAGAAGACAGAAAAACTAAACAAAGTAAGCAGAAAAGGGAAGGTGAGTAAATGTGATAAATAAATAAAGGAGAAATAAGACAGAGAGAACCAAATTAGAGATGAGGGTCCAGGACGGACCAGAAAGTTGTCACATTCATTTCGTTTTATGTGTGGGATTGGGTTGTGTTTTTATAGATGCTGTACTTATGCATTATTGAATATTATTTGAGAATGTTAATTCAATGATTGTAGCACAACTCTCTCTGCTCTGCTTATTATGATCATGACTTTGGAAGTAAGATGAAAATTGAACACTGGAAAGTTTATTTTACAATTTTAAAGGGCCTGATGTGTCGCTAAAAGATGTGTTTCACTGAATTTAGGGTCTGTTGGGCGAATTGTGTATCAAAGCATGGGAGACAAGCCTGAAGCGAATGGTTCTCTACATTACCCATCCTTCCTTACTCTATCCTTCCCTTCCTTACCCCACTTTCCTCAACCTTTCGCTACTCTCCCCTCCCCTACCCTACCCGTCCCACAACTGGTTTTACTATAACGTTTAGACAAAATTTTAATAATGTTAATATTTAGCAAAAGATACATTATCTGATTGAAAGCTTTAAACTTTATAGATACTATAATGTTACATAATGAAAATTTAGTTTTTTATTACATTTTTATCAGTATTCTTTGTAGAGTGCTTTACTCTTGCTACTAGAGAGACAAGTTTTGTTATGTAAGAGTCTATGAAAAGTGGTAAAAGGTTTCATTTTGTTTCAGAGCCTGTGAGTGGTGCTTCTCCATTCGTTCCTAAAGGGGATTTTCATGCTATGGACTGCACAGATATTATTATGGGTTCTGCAGTTGCCCACTATTATCGTATTGAAGATTATTATACCCGTGACCGCTCCACTCCGAAGGTCGATCGCTACTGGGGTGGCGACGATTCCCTTACTGCAGCGCTGGGTTGGGAAGTTGATGGAGTGACAACAATTTTGTTCAGGAGAAAGCTTGATGGTAAGAATTTTTTATCATTCCCAAGATGAAACCTTGCAGTACACCACTTTTAAAATATTTCCGGGCAGATTCGTTGGCATTCAAGATATGACTTTTTCTTTGTTTTAACCATTGTTTTATCATTCAAACATTTTGCCATTTATTCCATGTGCTTGCAATTTTTTTGCTAGTCTTTCATGTGGTACCTTATCAAAAAGCTTGTTGACTCCTAGAAAAATAGTCAACATCCCCTTGTGAATGTGGTGAGGGTACCCCCATTGAAGTAGGGGAGGGGGGGGGGATCCCCCCCCCCCCCCTTGTCTTGGAATATGCCCTGCCCTGGCCTTTGGACCCTTAATGATTTGACCTTAGAGAGCAACTAACTTAGGTTGCCGGTCAGCCGAGCTGACAGCACACTGGACTTGTGATCCTGTGGTCCTGGGTTCGATCCCAGGCGCTGGCAAGAAACAATGGGCAGAGTTTCTTTCACCCTATGCCCCTGTTACCTAGCAGTAAAATAGGTACCTGTGTGTTAGTCAGCTGTCACAGGCTGCTTCCTGGGGGTGGAGGCCTGGTTGAGGACCGGGCCGCGGGGACACTAAAAAAAGCCCCGAAATCATCTCAAGATAACCTCAAGATAGGTGCTTAGAAAGGTGCTTTTCATGTGTTGTACATTTTTGTTGCTTGAAGAGTGTGTGGAAATTCTTATTACATATTCATTATGGTAATTAATAATCTTTTCTACAATGACAGTATTTACATCTTTTACCTACAGCTACCCATCCAACTGACCACCCTATTACAAATTCTCTCATGCACGTCATCTGGGCTCGAGGACAAGAGGCAGGAATGTATGTCCATTCGCCCAAATCTGGCCTTGAGTCAGGTTCTGCGAGTGTCCCAGATTTCTATCGTCCCGATGAATTTAAGTACCATGGCAAGAAAGGGCAGAGAGGCGTTGTTTCAATGAATTTCTTAGGTAAATATTTAAATATATGTATTTAAGTCTATAAAAGGAATGTACAGGGTTCAAGTGTTGGTTGGACTTACTTGTTCCATACAGGAAAAGAGCCTCATATAATAAGCATATATATATTAAGTTACCATCTTAAGTTATTTTATAATATTAGAAGTGTCTAATCCTATAAAGAGTGAGTATAAGAAGATTATTTGTAAAAAAATCTGTAAAAAAGAACTATTATTTGTATTTTCCATATATAGTAGTGTGTCATGAAAACCATATTGATATAAACCCCTTTCCTTATTTCTTTTATTCACCAGATGTATCTTTAATTATAAAAAATGTAAAGATCTTAACTGAAAACATTTTCTATTTTTAATTTAAATTAATTTGCAGAGAAATTTTCCGAGCCAGCGGAAGGCAAAAAAGACGAGATCAACTGGTGTGGAGATCACTGGAAATACCCAGGACATTGTACTCCTGGTAAAGACTGCGAGTACTATGCCAAGTGGGAATACTTTGAGCAAACAGATGAAATTAAATTTACCATCCAGACTACTGACGGGAATCACTGGACTGGAATTGGTTTCTCTGACAATACGAGGATGGTCAGTACTACTACAGTTGGGGGTCTCATAGTACAGTTGGCCTTATTCTTGACTCACAATTGAGGAGTCTTCAATTCCTGGGGGAAAAAGAGGGAACAGAAATAGTTGAGCATGTTTCCTCTCACCTAAGTGCCTTTCTGTTCACCTAGCAGTTATAGGTACCTGAGAGTTAAGCAACTGATGTGGGCTGCATGCTCGGGAAGGTCAATAGTTTGGCCTAGGGGGGTACTTTGATGCAAGCCTAGAGTGTAATATGTATATACTGTAATAAACTGTAATATATATTATATATATATATATATAATATATATACATACATACATACAGGGTTCTTGTCCCCGATAACAGAAATTACATTTTTTAATAAGATACTTAATAATTAAGTTTGTAAAGGTAATTAAGTGGAGAGGTTTTTGAATAATATAAATACAAGCACAGGTATACTCTTAAACTAATTACTGTATGTAAAGTATCATTGTTGCTCTAAATATTTAACTTCTCTTGCAGTTACAGCCCCGCTCCTGTGCCAGGTAAATCCACTACGGGCTCACCATAGCCCGTGCTACTTGGGACTTTTTGTTCCGAGTCGCTGAATCTAACACAACAACACCACAACTCTTGTGAACTGTTTTGAGGAATAAATGTCACACTTTGTTAAGAAATTTATGATAAATCGGCTGTTTTAGGATTTTAATGTACTGTATCTCTTGTAAAAAACAAAGTTATTTGGAGACATTACTTTTATTATGTCAGGGATACTCTACAGTATAAATACCATATATATACTGTATAATGTAGAATATGAACTTGTAATAAATATAAGAAGCATAAATATATGAAACTCTTGTCCCGTACAGCCACTGACTGATGCAGTGATAGGTTGGGTGCAGCCTTCAGGCAGTTACTTTATGTTTGATGCTTGGTGTCATTCCTATGCCTCTCCTAACATTGATCAGGGCCAAGGCATTAGGAATCAGACAGGTTACAATGAAAATGGAATCTCCACCATCAGCTTCGTGAGGAACAGAATATCGAAAGATACTGAATATGTAAGTCTTTAAATGTATTATTATCAAGTTTTTGGTATAATGTAGTAATTATTGTAGGCGAGCAAAGGGAAGTAAAGTTTACTGATTTTGCAAATTTCACACTCAGAATACTGGTACAGTATATGTTTCTGGTAATTATGACAGGAGCCTTCCTGATAAATGCAGATTTTACATTTAGTTCTGTTTATTCACTATTAAGTGGGAACCACAAATTCCCGCATTTAAGTGGGAATTTGCAGTTGCAAAAATATTTATTTTCCCAAATACTGTAAATTGTAGTACATAAATTGCATAGCTATAAAATACATTTGATGCACTAAAGCCATAATTGCATCAAATGGCACTTGTGGCTATCAACAGTGTTGTTAAAGTCTTGATTTTCTAAAGAATTCTTTACAACATATGTAATTTTTTAAATAAGCCATTTGTTAAAAGTACCTAACTTGCAATATATAACTAACATTTCCTTTGTGTTTCAGGATCTGAGCTTTACTGATGAGAAGTGTCTCCACATGGTATTCCCCACTAAGGGCGGAACTTATGACTCTAAGAATAAGAGAACAAGAAAGCATTTAGCGACTCCTACAATTTCCACAGAAAGAGTTTGCATTCGCTCTTGTTCCAAATATGGTTAGTGTGAACTCTAAGGGTTAGGTGCAGTATGTTTAATATAACATTTTCTAGTGTCAATTATGGTTAGTATAAGTCTACACAAGTACCAAATATGGTTAGTGTAATGTCTATCCAAGTTTCAGGTGTAGTTAGTATCAAGTATGCTTGTCATAATAGTTATTAGTAAGCCTTCTTGAATGTCAAGCGTAGTTACTATGACATCTGCTAAAATATCCCACAAACTACACTGATTAATTCATTGGCGAACTCATCACCACTGATCCCTCCTTTATGTTGAATTGGGAGGCAAGAATTACCGGTAATAACAAAGAAGTGGTACTGATCATTGTTCAAGGTGCAGGACACTCCTCGGCTACTTGTGGTCGGTCTCGAGTCCGTTGTTGATGTTACGATGTGCATTAAATTATTTAACTAGCTCATCAAGATGGTAGCTTGCTTAGCTAAATGAATTGTGGGATTCAGTCCCTGAGTCCATTATGTGCCTCTGTAACCCTTTCCACTACCGCCCACAAGATGGGTATGGGGTGAATAATAAATGAACTAAACTGACTCTTCGACTGAGTCTAGCATAAATATATACAAGGCTTCATGATTAAGGCATTGATTAATTTTCATAATACAGTAAAAACGATAATAATACAGTAATAATGTTTACTTAGGCGAGAGTACATAAAAACAGTACTTGAACAGTGGGAACACATAAATAACATAAATACAGTATCTAAGGTCACTAATGAATTACATGTAATATTTAGAGCATTTTGGGAATATACCTTTCTATAGAATTCTTTACAACATAATGTTTGTAAATAAGCCATTTGTAAAATAGTAACTAACAGCATATGCAGAAATTATATCCGACTGAAGTAATTACTGTACCATATTGAGGTCGTCATAATGTCTTGCAACTACTGTACATTTGTAAATAACAAGAAGATTAACATCTAATATAGTTATTACAGAACCTGCCTGTGTATTTTCTGTAGCTAACCTGTAATTTGTCCATGTCAAATATGGTTAATGTTCAGTCTGCATGTGACATATACAGTATTGCTAATAACTTTTTATCACTACAACATACAACAACACTTGCTACAACAGTGTGTAAAATGGAGTTCACTTCAAGCACTTATTCATTTGGCCCTCATAAATATAAGTAATCATCTTTGCCTACGACACATGCAATGTTAGACAGCCTTCTTAAAAGACAGTTAGATACTTGGCCCTTTGAAAACAAATATAACTGGTATATGTGGACTATTGAAAAGAGTAATACATAATTGTGACTCTTAGTTACTGTAATTGTTTCATAAATATACTGTACTGTATATAAATGGGACATCTTGTGTGACACAGGTGGAGCTGATGGACGGCCATTTGTGTACACCACAACACCACGTCCACCTCTGCTGCACTATGCCGTGGAGATCATGTTGACCAATGTTGGGAGTAATTACCAGATCCCCCAGCAGGGATCAACAGCATGGCGACAGCTGACTGATAGCTTGCGGTCCTCCATGGACGGAGCACTTGAAACTGTTCCTGGATATCAAGCAAGTGATCTCACCGACTTGTAAGTTTATTTTTGCTTTGGTATAAAAGTTTTTCTATCATTAGCAAGGATATCATTTTGTAATTTTATGATTTTTGTTTAACCATGTTCTTTGAAAGTAGACTAAAAGCACGAGTCTTAACTTCTCGCATCATGTGGCACCCATTCCATATACTTACTGGATATTTAGTTACTCCATAACTAAACATATTTTTGTTACACCTGTTTTTTTTTATCACATCAGTGTACATGTTCTGGCCTTGGGTATTGTATTCATCACCCGCACACTACAAACTACTGTGCCTACACTAGAGTGCATGGGGGGTTATATGTCAAACTTGGACTGGCTTCAGTGAAGCCTCCAGACTTCTGTGGATTCAGTGGAATCCCAGGTTGTATAACTTGTGCCATGTCATGGTACAGGGGGTAAGTTGTGTGGCTGGGAGTGCCCTGATCGCTGGTTGAAATCATCTCAGTGCTTCTGTTGATTTTGTCTTTGATATACAGTATATCATGTTAGTGTAATTTTTGTTTGAATAATAATAATAATAACAATACTGTAATAATAATAATATTAGTAATAATAATAATAATATTTTGTTTAAGCAAGAATAGATACATATATAATATATATAAAATACATGAAGAGTGCAGGAGTCATAGGTAAGACAAGTAAATGCCTTAAATCCACAATTAATTTTGAAACATTTTGGATATGTGATGTAGATAACATTGATGAATCAAATGGCAAAGGCTAATTTTACTTTTACTATACTAAATACAGTCATCACATCAATAATCCTACCACTAATAAAAGATTTAAAAAAGACAAGTAAGTGAAAGACCTTCGAGATGGACAGAAGGAAATGATGATTTAGTTTGAGGATTTTCAACACGTTACTCATCAACTTTTCTGTTATAGTACTGTATCATGATTGACTGTGTTGCTCAGTGGCAAGATTAATGATGGCTTGTACCCCCATACACAGACAATTTGACGGCAAAGGTAAACTCTTGACCAAGATGCAAGTTGTGTTGGACAAAACTGTGCACGAGGCAAAAGTTGGAGAAGTTCCTCCTCCGAAAGGTACAGTAAGAATTGACCTCTCTTGCCCTTATGGCTGTTCTTCTTTCATATTGTTATTTATGTTTTATTAATTAGAAAATTTAAGTTGATAAATTATCATAAGGGTAGATAATTTTTTATTTGTAATTTAACTAGACTGCTGAGCAGGTTGTGCACTGTTAGGGAAAGACCACATTTGATGGACATGTGGGATCACAAGGGAGAACTATTACATCGCTATGAGCTTATATGAAATGCACCACTTACCAGGTATTCTGAGTAGGATTAATCATATCTCCAGTAATGGCCCATCACTTTCAATGACTTGACAGGGACCACTTGAAAAGTCTCCTTTACTGCCAGTGATTACTAGCATATCTGGTGCCTGATTGGCCATGATCTTTGGTCACAACACACAGGATCTTACCTCAGGGGGCATCTGGATTGCACAAATGAGGAAGGTGTTTTTCATAGTCATTCAGTAATAATTGGATCATACTTATTATTATTGTATATATTATAAAATTCTGTACTTTTTACTTAAGTTATTGTGAGTGTTGAGCAGTATATATTGCTTAAGTTTCTTACATTTTTGCAGATGACAAATAATTTACATTTTCTACATTAACACAGATGAGGCAGGAGAAGTGGGGGACGAGTCAATGGTGAGGAGAGTTTTGAGGGAAGCTGTCGAACGTGGGTCTATTGGATCCCTGCAGGTTGATCCTCAGTTCCTTCGAGTCAGTCGCCTACACGGTACGCTGCCCATGCCAAATATTTCCTTTCAGGATCCTTCAGGTGACAGGGTTTTCCAGGAGCCTTCTTTCATCATTGCTCCTGGGTCCTTTGGAGCCGGTCCACGGTTGCCAGTACATAGACCATCTAGTTTTCTTACTCCAAGGAATCCAAGTCACAGGTATGCCCCCGGGCAACAAACAGAATCAGAGTCAGAGCCACACCTTGAGCCAGAGTCAGAGCCACACCCTGAGCCAGAGTCAGAGCCACACCCTGAGCCAGAGTCAGAGCCACTTCCTGAGTCAGAAACTGAGCCACATTTTGAGTCAGAATCGCAGTCTCATTCCAAGCCAGAGTCAGAGCCACATCCTGAGCCAGAGTCAGAGCCACATCCTGAGCCAGAGTCAGAGCCACATCCTGAGCCAGAGTCAGAGTCACATCCTGAGCCAGAATCAGGATCAAATTCCAAGCCAGAATCAGAATCAAATTCTGAGCCAGAATCAGAACTATATCCTAAGCTACAATCAGAGTTACATCCTGAGTCTGAATCTGATTTATATCCTGATTCAGAACATGTTCCTGAGTTAGAATCAGTATCAGGGAGCGAGTCTCATTATCAATCTGGAAATCGGTATGATCAGCCTGCATCAGAGAATATCTCTTCATTGGAGTTGGCACAGGATGAGTACCCATCTGACCAACCACCTCCAGAACATCAGCCTTCTCACCAATCGGTCCCGGGCCTAAAGCCGTATTATCGTTCTTCAGCAGCAGGGGTTCTGCCACCACATAAACCAACACAAAATGAACAACCCCTCTTCTTCCCAGGTCATCAGCCTTCATATCTAGCAGTTCCATCAAGTCTGCCACAGAATGTTAAAGACAACCAAGGAACAAGTGGGATAAGAGGTGTTAGTAATAGAGTTCCCTATGTTAATGGAGTTCCTGGGCGAATAACGTGGAGCAGACTCACATTTTCCCCACTGGCTGTCAGACAGCTTCCTCAGTCGGAGAACTCCGAGATGTCATCTGGGTCGTACACCCCATATGACCCTCCTGGGGCACAATATCATCTAGTTATCTAGCCTTTGTGCAGAAGGGGAATGTTTTGCACAATTCAAGATATGAAACTAAGCAATTCTGACTAAAAGATAATATCAGACAGGTAAACGATGCTGATGAGTGATTCACAAAATTTCAGTAGGCCGTTTGAGCAAAACTGATTTGATCTTGGAACAGGGTTAACTTAGTATTCTGTAATAAAGGAATGGAGAGTTATCTTGTGATCAATCAAGGGGTGTTACTTTTGTGAGCAATACAACATGTTCCAGGGTAGCAAAGATAGAATTTTGTTTTGTTTGTCAATTTATTCATGCTTATTTGCTTGTGCTCTGTTAAGTAAATGATAATGAAACCTAAATGGGAAACATAAACATGTTAAACATATCAAAACACACTTAAGTAAACAACGTAAAAATATAGACAATGAGTTACAATAACGTGGCGAAGATACAATGATCAAAGCACAGATCAGAAAAACTTTCTGTGAAATTCTCTTTTTTATTAGAAAGAAGATGGCATTAGTAGGTAGTAAAATTCAAATATAGGATTGTTTTTTATTAGGATATTGTCAGACTATTCAGATACTCATTGTGAATGTTGACGAGATGAACAAGTAACAAGGGGGAAAACGTGCAGAGAAGATAACAAATATTATTAGATCACTTTAGCCTATGAGCCTATTTGATGAGTAGGTTACACTTGGTTATAAGACGGTCAGTGTAAGTCGGTCACAAAGCAGAAGGAAAGTTTGATTGAGGAGTAGTGTTGTTTGAGGTGTTATTAGTAGTCCAGTAAGAGGAACTGTAGTATGGTTGCAAGACTGGCTTCTTTACGAGAACATTTATTGGCCAGTCAGTAGGGCTACGGCTTAGGTTGTGCTTGATAAAAGAAATACATACAGCCATTTATATATCAGAAATTTTCCCATTTATGTTCCATTATCAATTTTTAGTTGTTAATGGGACTGTTTTTTGCTTTATTATTGGTGATGGCAAGTACTGTATTTAATTTAAATATGATTTTGGGCATTAATTACCAAATCATTGTTATGCATGTAACCCATATAAATATTACTTTAGTATATTATAAGGTAATTTGTGCACCTGGTACAGTTGACATTGTTGTCATTGGTAGTCAGGAAATGTTCACTGTGAGGAAATGTGACCCTCAAGACTGGTTTATTTTTAGCTGTGAAATTATCTATTGTAGGACAAAATATTTGTTGTATTTACATCCACTTGCTGCTGTATTCATGTACACTTGCTGTTGTATTCACATCTGCTAGCTGTTGTATTCATGTCTGCTTGCTGTTGTATTCACGTTTGCTTGCTGTTGTCTGCTTGCTGTTGTATTCACGTCTGCTTGCTGTTGTATTCACGTCTGCTTGCTGTTGTATTCACATCTGCTTGCTGTTGTACTCACATCTGCTTGCTGTTGTATTCACGTCTGCTTGCTGTTGTATTCACATCAGCTTTGTTGTATTCATGTCTGCTTCGTCTGCTTTCTGTTGTATTTAAGTTTGCTTACTGTTGTATTCACATCTGCTTGCTGTTGTAGTCACATCTGCTTGCTGCTTCATTCATGCCCACTTTGTGCTGTATTCACATGCACGTGCTGCTAACTGCTTAGGAAAGAGCACCTTTTTGTTCCTTCACTGCAAATGAAGCTTAATTAACACCTTAATGGATTGTACTTTTAAGTAGAAGCATAATTTGCACCCAGATTTAATTCCCTGTCAAACCTCTCTTTCTTAATCACATTTAATATTTCAAAAAGGTAGGTAATTTCCTGTTTATTGATGGAGCTACCATTTCAAGAATTTTTTCCTTAACTAGGCAATGAGGCTTCTATTCATACTTGATACAATGTCTTAACTTGATTAGGGTCCAGGATGGACTGAAACCAGATGTTTTGGAAATTAGAATTATATATTTAAATAATTTAATAGATACAGTAATACGCAATAATTTAGGCCGAGATAAAGTGAGTCAGTAGGGAAGGATCTTGTTAAACCTACAATTACAGTATTCATTTTTAAATTATTTGCATGTACAGTACAACGAGAGTACTAAGTGGCTGGCTGTCTGCCTGCTTATTTGTTCTGTCAGGCTGACAGTCGGGTTTTTCTTTATAGGAAAAATATATATATTCAAGAGTTCTTACATTCTTGTACAGCCACTTGGACGCATAACATTTCGAGCAGGTCCTTAATCCTATTTTCCCCGGAATATGACCTCATCAAAAGATGAGGTTGCTTGGCTAGCCAGGCCCATACGGCCTGGCTCATATGCAGTTACTCTTTGACTATGTTTGATCAATAATGGTATGAATGTTGACCCTGTGAAGAAAGGGTCTGCATTACATCGTCACATACAATGAGTGTACTGTACTACAGTCTACACGGTATTGTTATTATTTTATTTCTAATTAAATTAATCGAAGTGTAGGATTTGGTGATAATGATTATTTTGGTCTGCATGGTTATTGCAAACTTCATTCATAAATACAGTGTACTTATTATTCATGATAATTGCTGTTATATGAATGAAGGTTTTTGTTTCTATGTTTTGTTGAATCTCTTAATTCAAATTTTTGTCCAGTAAGCCATATCCTGAATTTGTCTTCAGAATTTGTAACACCATACTCATTCTAACCAATATTTGTGATCTTGAATATTTATTGGTTATTTTGAGCTAGTAAGATGCAATAAACTGTTTTCTTATAAGGCTTATATATATATATTTGGAAAAGGTGCTTTGGGGCTCCTCTTGCTTTCTGTGTAAGGATGGATTCTTAGCTCTTCTGAAGTCTGTGCACAAACAAATGTCTCTTATCTTGTTTAAGTTTAATAAAATATGTCATTATTTTATATTGATATAAATAATAATTTAAATTACCCATTTAATGAAATTTAGTATATTACATCTGTGTTCGGAATTTTTCAAATTACATGGACCATTTTCTAAGCCTGCCTCGGTTGCTTCACTCGGCAGATGGAGGATCCACCCATGACATAGTTCACATGCAGTGAGCAGTATCATGGGTGGATCCCTCACCTTTTCAAATGGTCTTTCCATGCAGTTTAAGGGCGAAGATAGTAGAGAGCAGTGGTGAATGACACCAACAAGAGATTCTACTCACTATGGTACTACAGAGCTAAGTAGCTGGCAAACCTCATTCTTTGCCTTGCATCTACTTGCTTCACTTTGTAGCTTTGCAAAGGCTGGCTCAGTTAATTTGAGTAATTTTTCCTCGAGACTTCATCTCCACATAGTGAGCTCCATTGCTTTCTTGTTTGCTTCCCTGTGTACAGTAGTGCCTAGTCGTTTGGCCAGATATCACATGCCTGCTTGGGTGTCCGGGTCTCAAATAAAGTTTGGTGGCTCGTTCAGCCCATACGGCCACCGGGCTGTGTGGCTGCTAGTGTCTTACTAGTGTGCATAGCACTAATTGCCTTTCTTTTCTCTTGCCAATAATTGTTTGATGGAGGTGCTGAGTTTCAATTTTAATTTATTTTCCATCATAATGCGTATTATCTTGTGATGGGATTGAGCTCTGCTTTCCACTGTCCTCCTGCCCCTAAACTCTGTGACAAGACCATTGGAAAGATTCCTTGTTGTGGTGGAGCTCAAATTCAATGAGGCCTTGGCTAGGGTAGCAACCGAGGGGGTGCTCAAAAGGGAATATTTCACTTCTCTCAACACTTCTCCAGTGTACTGTATGAAAATTTTTAGGTTATCTGTTGAAGAGTACATTTGTTTGTGTGTGTGCATGTGTGTATTTAGTGTTATAAATCCGTACACCGTACCACCAGCATCCCAGCAGTATTTTCCAGCATGCTGTGCAAAAAGATAGTTGCCTATAATCTAATTGGGATCACCACACTTATCTCCACTTGTCTGCCGTGCACTGATTGGAAACTTCTCTATGCTGTAGCAAATTTAATATCTAATTTATGA